ACGTGGGTGGTGGAGGGGAGGGGGGGGGGGGCGAGGGGGAGGGTGGGAGTGGGGGGGGGGGGGGGGTAAGTTGGTGAGCTGTGGGAGGGGGAGATAAGTCTGGTAAACTCCTATCTTCGCCCAGCAGGGTCCTAACTGGGGTTTTGCTGTCATACAAAGCAGTAAAATAGTCCCATCTCCCTCTGAAGGGGGTAAGGGGGAGAGACTTCTTACACAACTTTCAAGTGCACACTTCAGGCTATAAACATTGGTCTTCTAAGCATAAAGACAGAAGATATGAACTGAAAGCTATTAAAGGATTCTTTAATTATATGTTTGTCAGGAGTTTTCACGTGAGATTTGCTTTAATCTGAAAGTTACACTGCAAGTGTTGCTTCAGGCTGACAAAGCAAAGAGCAGTTAGGTTACATCAGCCTGGAAAAGGTGCAGCAGTTTAGATCTGTATCAATCTGATGTTAGTTTGGAAATGATAACGGAAGAAAACTTGCATAGGACTGTTTTTAGTCATACTCACCACTCTGAGGGCTTTAACACAAGAGCCACATTCACTCAACTGCACACACATCCATTTATGTAGCTATGTATAGATTGAAACTGGTTTAGATGCCTCAACCAAGGGCACACTGACAAGTGGCAATTGGGGAAGGTGGAATCAAACTCGCAACTTTCTAACTGCTATCTTGCCGCTGAGCCACATCTGTCCAGACATTTGTTGGATGTATAAAAAAACAGAAAAACAAAAATGAATATAACTTAAGAAGAAGGCAACTGGACTTCACCCAAAGGTTAAGGTCTCAACATGGTTGGTAGTAACAAAGAATCCGCAAATTGAGCACATTTATTCAGTAGGAAAAAAATAAGTGTGTTTAACATTAAAATCACCAGAAGCTCAGTCTTTGGTACCACTGCTGTTTGTACGGTGTCATTTTGCCAACAGGACAACACTTCTTTAATATTTAGCAAGATTGAAGAATGCAGAGTTCTGGGTCTTCTCTTTCACTATTTTCCTTACCATCCTGCTCACATGCATGGTGACATGATAAAAGGAGGTCCTCTTCCTGTCTGGAGCTACTTGCTGAAAGAATTGGGCATCAGTGTCACATCACAGTCATATCCCAGGGAAACAGAAAGAAATTGATAATTTACTACAAGTCCCTAGAAGTTTTTCAACTTAAGAAAAATAAGGTAAAAAAAGAAAACAAATATTTTGGTTTAGTTACCTCCAGTTAACAGTTACTGGAGGTTCCTCTTAAACATTTTTTATTTCTTAATCGCTAGATAAGTTGTTTTGGGATTTTTTTTTTTTTTACTCATGAAGTGCGTAAACAACAAGAATGAACAAAAAAAGACCTTAAAAATTTGATTTATTTCAGGTTAGCACCCATTTGTTTATGAACTTCTGTGTAGTTCTAAAATCCTTCACCATGAACAGATCTAAAAAAAAAACATGCATTTGGTTTAGTATAAAAAAAATTCTAACAAACTTTCGAGAAGTATTTGTTTACTTCAAGACTGATCATCTAAACTAAGATTCTGTGCACGAAATCAAAATAAACATCTTTCTTTAAAGAAAAAGTACATGAAAAAAATTCTGGAAGTCAATATTGAGAAGTGTCTCAAACAGCCTATTGTGCCAGTTTAACCAGTAAGTACAAATGTGCTTCATATCACAAAATGTTTCTCCTGAAAGGCAAGAAACCAGTAGAAATGGAAGTGGAACTTAAAAGTTTTTCATGCATATAAAGGTTTAACAAAGAACGACAACATGTGGTTGTTCTCATCTGTGCATCCCTAGCTGTAGCCTAAGAAAATCCCAGAATGTTTAACAAGTATGGATACTTTTGCCAGGCTGTGTTATTGGGTTTCAGAAGCTCCTGACCAATCATAGCACGGTGCAGGAGCAGCAGGGATTGTCTTTGTGTACTGCCTCGACCTCCTCCAGTGGTGGGGGGCCACGGACCGAAGACTCATCCTTGGACTCGGACAGCGAGCCCGTGGACGTGGACAGGAGCCTCCCGCACACCAGGTCGGCGGCGTTCCCATCCCTGACGGAGAAGTCTGTCACAGTTTTCTCCCTCAGCGACATGTCCCCGTCTTCGTCATCATCTATCAACACAAACTCCTTAAGGTACGTCGTCCCTGCTCTCTGTAGACTGTGGTACTCCACCGACTCCTCAAGAGTGTAGCCATCTACAAAGGTGATGGTGGAAGACTCTGTGAGCGACTTGTGTGGCTCTGTGGAGTTGTCCTCAGGGCCTGAGTAGATGTGGCTGCTTGAATCCAAGACCGGCGTAGAGTTTCTGTGGAACGTCTCACCTCTTACACTGAACGTTTGTTCCTTTTCGGTTCTAGGAATGAGATCCGGAGCAGACGGAACCCTGTGTGTTGTGTCACCTCGGCTCCTGAGCTGGTCTCTTCGTTTGTGAGCGTTGACTTCCACAGTGTGGCCATTCCCGGGGTACATTTTAAGAGCCACTCAGAGGCAGTCATGATAGACCTGCGCACTCCTGCTCCCTGGTGGCGGAGAGAAGGAAGTGCTGGCACTGCTGCCGCCTCCTCACTACGTCACAGATCGGTCCTGATGCAATATACAAAGATGGAGATTCACTTCAAAGGTGTGAATATACATAAGATTAAATCTATTAATTACTTTTTAATGATATCCAAATAGTAAAAACAGGCTTTGGGATGTTTTGATAATTCTGACAAATAAGCAGAATTTAGGCAAGAAAAACCTGCCTAAAGTTTTTCAGCACTTCATTAGAGTGTGGAGAATGTAAAGATGAAGAATGACATAAAGTATTAGACTTCATTTGGAAAATATGCAGGATGTAAAATATTACCAGAAACTTCAAAAAAGTCCAAAAAAGATAGCCAGGGGTAATTTGAAGAAGCACAACAATTAGAAAAAAAAGATAGCATTAGAAGTGAAAATCAGCATTAAAACAGTTGGTGAAATATAAAAAGAAAACATGACAGAGGCTGAAAAAGGGCTAATTTGTTGTCTTAAAACCAGCTGACTTGTTCTGAAAGCTCCATGAAAACTGTTTAAAGATTATTTAATTTGGTTTTGGTTTGACAAAATTAGTATGTTGTTGTGAGACAAAGAACAATTATTCTCTGTGTTACTGCCATCACAAAAGGTTGGAGCTTTTAGGGGAGAAAAACCACAGACAGGATCAGTCTAAGAGTCTGAAGCATGGTGGCGGAGGGTCTTTACTTAACTTTACTTTCCATTATTTACCAAGAACTACTGGTTATTATGACCACAGCTGCTGTTCACACTAATGAAACAGCGCTGGCGACAATCTATCATCTACGAATTACGTCATTGCCATATTTTATTCAGATTATTCTGTGCACGTTTCTGCTCTTCTCCACTTCCATATTAACTGGAGTAGATAATTGTAAGCAGGGGGGAGTTGTTGTACAAACCAGAGAGAGAGAGAGAGAGAGAACGAGCTGTCATTTGGGATAGGACTCTGGATCAAGAAATGAAGCCTGCACTGTGAAAGAAGCAGAAAATAACTTGCGTTCCCTCAGGACTGGCTCTTTGAAGACACACGCAGATGATTTTCTCTAATGCGCCCCAACAAAAGGAGGAAAATGATTATTTCGTTCTCACTTTTTCATTCCCATCCTCAGAAAAAGTCACTGTGGATATGGGTTCGCCACTAACATTAACATATATAAACCATTCCTTATTGAGAAAAATCTCCACAGAATTTACATCTGGACACTGAGATGGCAACAGAAGAAGTCTGGATTAGCTGAGTAATCTCTGGTGAACCACTAAGTGTTTATGGTCCCACGTTTTAGATCCAGTGGATGACCTACTTTCATTTTCTCTTAAGTTAAATCTCCCATCAACTCTGACAAAGTTAATAAAGTCTTTGACAGACAAACAGGCCCAAAGCATCACAGAACATTTTTTTAACCCTTAATCATCCATCATCAGAGAAAAGTACAAAGTTCAAGTAAAAGAGACAATACCCTTGAGCAAACTCTGTATGTTTGCGTTTAAGTTGGTAGGACACAAAAGGCTTAATCACTGTGCAGAGTGTTTGGTTGCTATGGTGATACTGTGAATCCAGAATGCCACCCTTTGCAGCAAATACCTAAAAATAAGCTTCGGAGATATAAAAAAATACTGCTACCTAGTGGTGGCAAGTTAAATACACATTTCATTTATTGAATTACTATTGCTGCTATTTATATTACTATAGTAATCATCTTTGTAAAAGGAAAAGTGGCTGTTATCCATCATCTTGTGGTGCACCTGTACCCCACACCCTCACCCTAATATTAATGTCTGCATCTACAAGTACCTCCTGAAACGTGGCTGCAGTATTTTCTGAATTAGATTGGCTAGTGTGGTAAATAAACACAAAATTGAATGACGTCCTGATGAAGGACGTTTCCAGTTTCTGGCTTTAAAAGTTTAATGCAGCTCACATTGTGCAACAGCTTGACAAAATGACCGTGTTACATTCTACTGATTCATATGCATGACAGATTCGGGACTCTATAAATGAATAATAACAAAATGCACGAAAACATGAGCCACTGGAACGTAGAATGGCTACTGAGCAGATAAAAGATACATAGGGCTTTAAGTGGCTGCTTAGTTTTGCTGCCGATTTTCAAAAAGAAGGGAACCGTTTTTTCACACTAACCCACAAGAACATAACGGAGCAGAAGATTGAGGCAGGTAATAATGACATTGTGTTTTTACCTGAAGCCGTCTGAGCTGCTTGCCTCCCTCTGATCCTCCGTACAGCCGGTGGAAATGACTTCTCATCTGAGCAGAAACTGGAAACAAAGACACTCCCAGTCTCCACTTAGAAACTACAACTGCTCTGTGTGGCACCAAGAACAAACCACGCCTTAAACCAAAACCACGAACATGATTGGTTACAAATATGTGTCATTTTTAATTGACTAAATGAGTCGATTTAGTCAAGTGTTGACAATTTAAACAGCTGCACAAAGATGCAGTAAACATAACTTTTAACAAATATGTTTTTTTCCATATTTGTTAAACGTGTCACCATATTGTTACAGAATGCTACCAGACAGATAATCTATGAAAAAAAAAAAAAAATCAAGCTCCTCCATTTCCTCATGATGCTAATGCTGTCTGAAGAAATACACCGCTCCAGGTCAAAAGCAACCAATCAGAGGCCAGAGGAGAGTCTTAGCGCCGTCAATCATGTTCGTGTATTGAACAATATGCTAATGGTGGAGAAACAATTTACCGATCCAGAGAAACTGTTTATTTGCCATCACTGGTGGTCACACTAACCAACCTGAACATTCGGGCCAGGCTACATGAGGGTGATTGACAGCACTAAGACCCTCCTCCTGGCTCTGATTGGTTGTTTCTGCCGTGTGCACTGGGAGCACTGGGAACAGGCAGAGGAGCTCCATTTGTTTTCACAGAATATCTGTCACGTCTAATACTCTATGACCAAAACATATTTAAAAAATAAATAAATAAAAGTTTCATACTGCAGCTTTAATGAAAACAATATGGAACTAGCTTTTACACAGAGGTCATCTCAATAAATTAAAAAATCATTTAAATTTATTTAAGTAATTCAGATGTGTATGTTAAGCTCATACAGATTAATTACAGATTGACATATTTTCACTGTTTATTTTGATAAAAATCAATTTCTTGAAAAATGTGAATATTTTATAGAGAACATTTTTACACACAAAAATGAGAGGCTACTGAAAAGTGTCTACATGTTTATGCAGTCAACATGGAGGGGCTTGGTAGGGGCTCCTTCTACATGAAATAAAATGTGAAAGCAGTGACAAGCACAACATGGCTAATGGAGCTTTATTACGGTGAATTTACGCAGACGAAATTTAATAAATTTTAGGGCCAATTTAAACATTAAACTACGTTCTAACAAAGAGTCTCACTCTTTGTAAAGCTACCCTGACAGATGCATTGGAAGTCATGTTCAACCAGAAGACAGAGGAGGTCATAATTATTGTATGATCTTAGAAAAAAATCCATTCATCCAAATCCTAAAAAAACAACAAAAAACAAAAATGTGTATATTATGAGAAAACACCTAGTAAATTGCTTTTCAACTGTAATCAAACCCTCTTAGTCCGATTTGTTTGAAAAAGCTTAAGACTTTTCAAAACAACCTAATTTTTTAAAACTAACACCTCTCAGCTGTGCAGCGATGCATGAAGAGCCACTCCTCTCTGTGCCACACACTGAAGGGCAGCATATAAATAATCCAAGAGGACAGACTCTCACACACAGAAGCTGCAGACGGAAATACTGGAGTGATGAAATATTGAAAAACATTCAGTCACAGCAGGAGTGATGTTTGCTTTGACCCAATACGGTCAGTGGGTCGACACAGCACCGACAAAGTGTTGAGTGGGTCTACAAAACGTCCGGCGTAAACCGTAACCTCAATCTGACTGGAACCTGCTGAAGGGAAACTAGATAAAACATTTATTATTACTGAAACAAAGTGAAGATTCTTCTGGTGAAAAATCATCCTGTAAGCTAAGAACCAAAAGAAATCAACACAGATTTTTCCCAGCAGATCTTTTAATCAAGGAAAAAAATGTGCTGATGACTGATAATGACCTGAAACATAGAATTAGAAAAAATTAGATCCTGTTTATGAGTTAGAATGACCTAGTCAAAGATTATCAGAAAACCGGTACGTAAACATTTTTGTTGACAGACGTTCTTCATCCTACGAAATCAGTCCCACCATGTGGGAGGAGCTTTGTCCCTGTAGTTGCAACTGGAAACTCAGGCCTTCATCAGCAGACTGACCCACGTTTTTGCTCGTGTCCCAGAATCTGATAGTTACGGTTCCTGCTGCTGGCGGATTCTCCTTAAACTGGGCTGTGACACAGACAGGAGCCGTGATGATTTCAACACCTGGAGGCACAACAGAGATGTGACAAGTCATTTGCCTGGCTGCAGACAAATCTGTGGTCGATAATCGGCTGCCTTCTTACCTTTGTGCTTTTCTATTTCGGCCAAGCAGACGGACAGCATCCACAGACCCGGCACCGTTCGAGACTTCAGGCCGCAGAACACAGCCGGCAGAGACAGGAGGCGATGCGGGGAGTAGTCGGTGAAGGGCCAAACACACCGAGGGCCGGCCAACATGGGAACTCTGACCTCCACCTGCTTCATACTGTCCTTATTGTCTGGTTCCTCCTCTGAAACAGTAAAATTCACATGTATGAAAGGAAGAGTACACAAAAATCGTATGCAAGTCATAGTAGTAACATATGTTTACTCAAGTAAAAGTAAAAAGTAGTCATTCAAAAATTAAGAGTAAAAACGTTATTTGGTAAAAAGGTTACCCAAGTACTGAGCAATTATTCAAACATAATATTTAAAAATTATATCAGACAGACCAAATTATAAAGTTATGTGAAAATGTTGGTATTTTAAAGAAGTATTGTTATGTAAAACCGACTTGTTAGAGCTTTACCTCATGTTATAATGTCATTCGCTCATTAAAAACATACTTGTTGCCTCGATTCTTTTCTGCATGTTTGAGAAATACTTTAATCTCCAAGGCAACCATTCAGCTGTGCAGAACGCCTGCGTGGACCGAGCTCTTACTCAGAGCTGCGGTTTCCAAGCTTCTGCCTTACAGAGCAAAAAGTACAGCACAGTAAAAATACTCCTAAAGTACATTTTGTCCAAAGGGTTACACAAGTAAATGTAACTGAGTAAATGCTGAGTTTCCCCCAGTGTACTATAAGCCTGGCGGGCCACCAGGCTGTATTTGGTGGCATTGTTAGCCTGGAGGGATAACAACGCTTCCCCACCAGGCTAAGTGTTGTTTGTTTGTTTGCTTCTAAATGTAAGGTATGAATGTTTCTGAGCAGAAATCGCCACAGAAGGTTTCACACTAGCCTTCGTTCCTCAGCAGGTCTCTCGTGGGCTCGTGGCGCCGGTTCTGTGACAGCAGCGTTACGACGCTCTCCCACACCGGACATCCGGAACGAGACGCAGCGGACAAACAGACGTCCACCTCCACCCCTGCATCCGTCTGCTGGTATCCCTCCACCGCGACCTGCAGCGTGAAAGGACCCTTCTTCAGCTCATCGATTGGCTGAAGGGTTTTCAGGCTCTGTCGCACACGGACAAGACCTAACAACAGAAAGTTCATATTGGTGAAATACCGGCAGCAGGGAGGTGAACAGTATTCTGCAGGAGTGTCAGATAGTGTCAGTACTGCTTCTTTTTATTTGTTTTGTTTTTTGTTTTTTACTGCTGACGTGGGTCTGATGAAAACCTCAGCATTTACAATACCTTGCAAAAGTATTCACTCTCCTTTTATTATGATACTACCACACAATTCAATTGATTTAGTTGGATTTTCACATAATTATCCAACACAAAGTAATGGATAATTTTTATTAAATTATAAGCTAACGATACCATTTTAATAAAAAAGGCCTGACCAGTATGGCTGAAAATGAAAACCAGGTATCATTCTCTTTTTGAGTTTATTCCTCATGTAAAATCTCAACAGAAACCAGATGTTTAATTGTAATGCGGCTAAACTTGAAATATAAATTGAACCGTTAAACCACGCCGTAAGGAACTGCATTTGTTCGTGTTGTTTTTGTTGTACCTGCTGGGCTGAGCCTAAAGTTGTGGTCTGTTAACAACATAAGCATTAGTCTGGAGCAGAGAACCTCCGGGAAACACAGCGGGAGGTCTCTGAATTCAGTGTCCGGATAATCCCATCCATACCCCGCTGCTCCGCAGAATCTCCTCAGCAGAGTTCTGTCCAGCCTCAAAGAGCAGCACAGATACGCCAACTCAAAACGAGAACGTCCAGCAGTCCGGCTAATGTATAAAGTGTTTTATCACACTACTTACTCACCTGCAGTTGAGCACCGTGTAAACAACAGCACGCGCTCCTGTTGCGCGCGCTGCGTACAGGTGGCCTGCTCTCCGCGTCACAGCTCTGCTCAGGTATTTGATGTAAAGATACACAAAACTCGGAAGTTTGTCGCTATTCAGCGCATTTTGACGCAGCAATTTGTGAGAGCGATAAATGTACATGTAGCCTAAACATACGGAACATACGGAGAGCGAGGCAACAACACAGCTTCGAGCATTTCCCATGCTGCTCAGACTTTGTGTTTTGAACTCGGAGGTCAGACGGCGCAGGATACTGTTGAGTTCTACGGCAAGCGTCATGAGACAAACATGCTCGATTATTTAAAAAACGGCTGGAAAATAATGAATTAAAGCACTCCTTTATTCTGAACTAAAAGATATTCTTCAAAATACGAAAAGTATTCCGATATATGTTGGATAATTTCAAGAGAAGGTTTTAAATTGTTAAACCTTATTATTGAAAGAGTATGTTGGACCCTTTATTGGTCAGGTCTGCAACCATTAAGGGTTAATTTGAATTTTCACAGTAGCCCAAACATCCTTCTCAAAATAATAAACTCAGTCTTTATGAGTAGAATAGGTCACAAATTCCCAATGGGCCTACTCCAGGGACTCGTAGGGTTAGCCATTTTTATCACTCAAAATGAAGTTTGCAGATGGTCTTCAAAATAAGAGTAGGTTCCATATTATTGCTGGGAAATGTTGACCTTTTAAAATATGGCATATAAATGAACGCTCAAAACAACACATGGAAAACGTGATTCCTTTGGCCTTTCAGATTAAAACTCACAGATACCCATCAAAATAAGAAACTTAACTTAGTCCTATATGTTGAAATGGCTGCCAAGCCATTAAAAGCCCCCAACAAAGCTCATTTTTATTCCCTTACTTCAAAACTTCAGTAAGGGAATAAATTGAAAATCAAACTAACAGGCACGAAAATATTTAAAAACTTCAAGATTTTATAGGTTATGTTATTATAGCAGAAGGAAGTTAGACAGCACTAAATGAGTTAGCATTTTTTTTAAAATGACAAAATGAAACCAGAAGAATCCTTTAACTTTTATAGTACATACCAAATTCCTCCAGGAAATTTTCCAGTGACACTTTGTAACACAGATTGATCTGAAAAGCTCTTTATTCTTGAGCATTCGGACAACTGATTTTCAACAACTGATTCCAATTTCTTGCAAGTTCTTAAATCTCTGACGATGAATTGTAAAACTTGTATTTAGCTGATCATCTCTGTGGGGAAAAGGTCATCAGAGTTATGACTTTATTTGTTGTTGAAAGAGACATTCGTATTAAGGCTGTCGCCATGGGGATGTTATGAAGCAGGTTCTTCGGAGTGGTTCCTGAGCAGACGGCCTTGTGGCAGTCGGCTGGTCCATCCAGACTGGATCGACTGTTCTTCATCCGAACAGAAGCAGCAGAACAATGCAGACTGAATTCACGCCTATAAGCGGCACTGCAGGACGACACACGTCAAGATCAGGTTATTTAAAGAAACATTTAACACAATAACATTATCTTCATTAATTTCTTGCATAACTTTGGCTGTGTTGATGTAAATGGCATAATATTTTAAATTAACTTTATATTTTTCTTTTCAAGTATTATTTGCCTTCTAAAGGAGACAGTGCAAACTGTGTCCTGTTAGCATTTTTAAGGTCATTTATGCCTATTCAACAGGGAGTTTTGATTACATCACCCTGGCAATTTGAATAGACTTTTTTTTCATTTCCTTGTAATAAAAATCCCTTTACAATGTCACATTTTATTGTTTTCCAATAAGTTAAGAATTTTATTTGCTGTAAACCCCCAAATTTGGTGTAAATAGAATTGGAAAGAAGCCAAACACCTTTGACCCTCTTTTACTTTATAAGTAATTCTATACAGTCCTCTATTAATATTGAACACACAGATACTGCGATAACTATAAATTAGCACAATATTGTATAACCCTGTTGCTGTGTTTGACGGTATAGCTTACTAAGCTCAATAAGTTAAAAAGGATTAGTTGGCTGATTTTAGTGGTTAGCAGTAAATATGTTTTTTTCTTTTTTTTTTTTTTAGCAAAAATGAAAAGAAATGCTTACATCTCATAATGCATGCCTAAATTTTATAACTGTGAGGCTATAAACTTTGCTTTTAATGGAACTTATCAGCTTAGTATTTTACACTAGATGCTACACAAAACCTTAAAATACGTGAAAGTCAACATGTTACTCAATCTGTCACATATAAATGAGGGATTCAAAAATATCCCACCCAACAGTTTAAAAAAAAAAAAGAAAAAAAAAGTTGATCAGAAACAAGCCAGAAACTGCAGTGTAAAAAGAAACAGGCACCTCTCATCACTGTCCTCACAGAGCGGATGAGGTTCATCAGCTGTACTTTGATGCCTGGTTCATCACCAAACCCTCCAACGCTTTGGTCCACTCCCCAGCCGACTAACCGAGAGCGAAAACAAACACCGAACAACACAAATATATAATTCCGTTACATTCTGTTAAACTCATTAGTCTGTAATATCTAATTTAGGAAGTTAGCATAAGCTAACAAGTCGGCTACATTCAGTAGTCCTGTCCAATGACTCGAGGAATTTACAACCTAGCTACTTACTTTTACTGAGGAACCTTTCTTCGTGTAACACAGCGACAGCGTTTATACACAAGATAGCTGCTTGAATTAGAGAATACAGCGTAAATGCCATGATAAGTCTACAGCAGCTATCTGCAGGCTAGCTGAAGCTATTTACCTATGACGCGGAGTACGGTGGCCGAGGATGGGAAAATGTGTCCGATTGGTCGAAGTCCGCACTCTTTATTGTTATAATACACAGAATCAAGCTTCGTTCGTATTCTGTTACAATAAATACTCCGTTTAATTACAATACTCCGCAGAAATACCCATATTTTTACACTGTATTTTATGTGTTGTAGAGCGTCATTAAAGGGGCAGTAGTATGTAAAATCAACTTTTTATCTTTACATCATGTTATTCCCTCATCAAAAACATACCTGAAGTGTTACTTTGATTCTTTCAATATTTTTGAGAAATCCTTTAATCTCCATGGCAACCATTCAGCTGTGGAAAACACCTGGGTGGACCTAGCTCCGCCTTTAAGACGCAGCTCCTCCTCTGCACTGCGGTTTCCAAGCTTCTGAGCTTCCGCCTCACATAGCAGCCCTTCCCCTGCCACTCCCCCACTGAGCGCTTTCAGACTAGCCAGTAACAATTAGCAAACACCAAGCAGAGTTTCAGAAGGAGCAGGAGTTTCTTAAAGAGACAAAGGCTCAATTTCAAGGAGCTAAATTACAAAGTTGAATTTCTTTGAAGTAATATTTGACATGAACAGCATCTTTATAACAACTGAAGGCAACATACTCAATTGTGCTATAAAATAGGACTATGTACCCTAGAATACACACAAAACTCTCCCTTTACATATGAAAACTTTTTTTAAATTATTTTTTAACAAAAACAGGCAGGTTCATGAGAATAAAAATCTTTATTAGTGTTTTATGAAGTCTGCATAATATGCCACACGCCTGAGAAGCTCATGGTCAAGAAACAAAAAGAAAAAAACAGAAGAAGAAGAAAAAAAAAACTGCTCTATCAATACCGCCCTCTATTGGTAAAACAATTGCGACATCTACAGTACTGACTTGTTTGCAAAAAAAAATGATTACTGTTAAATACACACATAATGTACTACTTTTATGCATACGCACATCTGGTCCACGTCAGTTTTGTATTGTATTTTTCTTTGTTTTGTTTTTTTTCTCTTTTTTCACATTCATATGTTGTAGGCCAAAGATAAGAACAATGTAACACTGGACCCAAACACATGGTTCAGTTCCTCCCCGCTCCCAAAAAAAAAATTAAAAAAAATTCATAATGCACTAGTTGCACTTCAAGTACAATCTCTAGTGTCATATGGTAAACACATGTACATCAAATGGTGGGCCAGGGACATATTTAAACTTGCAACAACCAAGTAATGAGTTTAAGGTAGTAAGTCTCGTACAAGCTGTCCTTTAAAGACTGAACGAACACAATACGCACATCAACACATAATGTCCCAGTGTGCAGGCACATTCACTCCCATCCAGTTTAGCTGTAACATTTTAAAAGCCAATTGAGTGTGGTTAATTTGCTCGACAAAGCACCAAAAAAAAAAAGCTAGAGGAGGTCAAATGTGCTTGGACAATAATTACACACGCACAAAACAAAATGGGTAAAACAAAAATTTTTAAACATCTAAAAAACTATAACTACAAGGAACGGGATTCAAACTTTCAGTCAAATCTGTTTTTTTGAGCTTTAAACGCAGCAGATTTCTTTGGAAAACAAAAAAACAAAAAAGGCTAGATATAAGCTACATATGATGTAAGGGCAGTGATTACTTTCTCTTTTTTTCCCCACTGAGACAAAAGATATGCCATTTAGAAATTTGGGGTAAAATGTAGGAATGATCTACCCTCTCTCTCGTTTTAGAAATTACTGAGGTGTTGAAAATAAAAAATGAATGATGGAAAATTCATTTTTTTATTTTTATTTGTGTGTGTGTGTATACACACACACAAATACACAAAATAACACAAAGTAGCAAAACAACAGGGATATTGACTATGGACAGAATTAATTTACACTGATGCCTTCAAAGTTCTCCTGATGAGGCGTTTAACCGTTTCGCCTTCCAGAGCTCAAGCAGTCTCCGTGTTAGAAAACAAAACAAAACAAAAACACAAAAATGTCCAAAAAGAAATATAGTTTTTGATAACTTCTGATATATTTTCTGGTCCCTGCCCAGCATGCTCTGTAAAACCTGGCTGGAAGCTAGAAAACCAGGCGAATCGGATCGGATGCAAATCAGCTAAAGAGAACGAAGAGTGCCAAATGACGACCAAACAAAAAAATAAAAATACCAACTACAATAAAACTACAGCCAGTCTGATAGTGCAGTTTCTTTAGAGCTGTGGAAATATTTATTTTACCAACATTCCTATATGTCTATCTTGAAGGTATGTCTTAGAACGACACACTGTGTTAGTTAAAAAAAAGAAATAAATCGGGCGCCATTTTGGCAGAGGCAATTGAATCAAATTCCATAAACACGTTGTGGTATTTCCTTCAGGAGAAAAACAGCCACCAAGGCCATCGTTTCTTCAATAAGCCGCCTCCCCTTGACAACAGAGAAGTCTCCCAGAGAAAAGTAAACTTAGGTTCAGAACAATGGATGTGGTGGGATGGAACAACGAAAAAAAAAATATATATATAGATATATATATATCACTTCAGCATTCAAGCAATCTTCAACACTGAGAACCTATTCACAGATATTTTTGGTATTTCCTCTACTTCCCAGACAACAATCAATATACATTTTTGTTTTTATTTGTACCACAAATAGATCTAATATTAAGGACTTGGGGCAAAGCAATTTAACAAGGTGCATGACATAGGTGGGTAACAAAGTGCCAATCTCACTCTTTTTTTTTTTTTAATTTTCCATAAAAAAAAATAAGTCTGCATGTGTGTATATGTGAGTTGAACTATGTATTGATGTTCTTCTTCTGTGTGTGTGTGTGTGGGGGGGGGTGTAAGTTAAAACGGGGATGTGGAACCGAGCCCCAAATACTACGGAGAATGTTACAAAAACAAATTCTGTTATGAATTTTTTTTTTCCTCTCTGTTTTTTTCTCTCTCTTTTTCCAGTTTGGAGTGTAGCCATCTTTGTATCAGGGTCATTTTGGGCGTTTCCTTTGCAGCTTAGGACATACTGGAGCAGCGTGCATTCGGGGTGCCCATCTGGGTGAGAACTTTGTCCAGCCACTGCAGCGGGCCGTTCAGGTGCAGCTCGATCCAGCATGGAGTGCTTGTCACGGTTTGTCGCCTGGGGAAAAAAAAAAAAAAAAAAAAAGCAGTTTTGGTCCCGAGTTTTCCCAACATTCCATCTGCTAATGCTTTAGACATTTAGTGTACCAATTACTTTTCCAAAGCCACATGTGTGTATCAGCATTTTAAGCACATTAGCCAGACTTTTAAAAAAAGTCTGTTAGTTTGTCAACTAGCAAAAACTAAACATCATCTTGCATAAACTGGAAAGGATTTCAGTTAGCAACTATGCGAAGGACAATAACACATCATTTAAACACTTCGGAAAACAGGTCCACGTGTTATAAATACAGGTCCTTCTCAAAAAATTAGCATATTGTGATAAAGTTCATTATTTTCCATAATGTAATGATAAAAATTAAACTGTCATATATTTTAGATTCATTGCACACTAACTGAAATATTTCTGGTCTTTTATTGTTTTAATACTGATGATTTTGGCATACAGCTCATGAAAACCCAAAATTCCTATCTCAAAAAATTAGCATATCATGAAAAGGTTCTCTGAACGAGCAATTAACCTCATCATCTGAATCAACAAAGTAACTCTAAACACCTGAAAAAGATTCCTGAGGCATTTAAAAACTCACAGCCTGGTTCGTTACTCAAAACCGCAATCATGGGTCAGACTGCTGACCTGACTGCTGTCCAGAAGGCCATCAATGATGCCCTCAAGCAAGAGGGTGAGACACGGAAAGAAATTTCTGAACGAATAGGCTGTTCCCAGAGTGCTGTATCAAGGCACCTCAGTGGAAAGTCAGTGGGAAGGAAAAAGTGTGGCAGAAAACGCTGCACAACGAGAAGAGGTGACCGGACCCTGAGGAAGATTGTGGAGAAGGGCCGATTCCAGACCTTGGGGGACCTGCAGAAGCAGTGGACTGAGTCTGGAGTAGAAACATCCAGAGCCACTGTGCACAGGCGTGTGTAGGAAATGGACCACAGGTCCCTCATTCCCCAGGTCAAAGGTCAAGCCACTATTGAACCAAAAACAGCAGCAGAAGCGCCTGACCTGGGCTACAGAGAAGCAGCACTGGACTGTTGCTCAGTGGTCCAAAGTACTTTTTTTGGATGAAAAAATTTTGCATGTCACTCGGAAATCAAGGTGCCAGAGTCTGGAGGAAGACTGGGGAGAAGGAAATGCCAAAATGCCAGAAGTCCAGTGTCAAGTACCCACAGTCAGTGATGGTCTGGGTGCCATGTCAGCTGCTGGTGTTGGTCCACTGTGTTTTATCAAGGGCAGGATCAATGCAGCAGCTATCAGAAGATTTTGGAGCACTTCATGCTTCCATCTGCTGAAAAGCTTTATGGAGATGAAGATTTCATTTTTCAGCACAACCTGGCACCTGCTCACAGTGCCAAAACCACTGGTAAATGGTTTACTGACCATGGTGTTACTGTGCTCAATTGGCCTGCCAACTCTCCTGACCTGAACCCCATAGAGAATCTGTGGGATATTGTGAAGAGAAAGTTGAGAGACGCAAGACCCAAAACTCTGGATGAGCTTAAAGCCGCTATCGAAGCATCCTGGGCCTCCATAACACCTCAGCAGAGCCACAGGCTGATTGCCTCCATGCCGCATTGAAGGCTGCAAAAGGATTCCTGACCAAGTATTGAGTGCATAACTAAACATAATTATTTGAAGGTTAACTTTTTTGGTATTAAAACACATTTATTTTATTGGTCGGATGAAATATGCTAATTTTTTTGAGACAGGGATTTTGGGTTTTCATGAGCTGTTTGCCAAAATCATCAGTATTAAAACAATAAAAGACCTGAAATATTTCAGTTGGTGTCCAATGAATCTAAAATACATGACAGTTTAATTTTTATCATTACATTATGGAAAATAATGAACTTCATCACAATATGCTAATTTTTTGAGAAGGACCTGTAGAGGTACATTTAAGGTTCTGGGTACAAAAGTAAAGAATTTATGGAATGGAAAAGGTACTGGGAGTGGTGGGTCCAGAGGTGGCAGCGGCCTGCAGCAGGATACCATTTGCTAAAGCAGCTCTAAGATTTTCCCAAAGCAATCATAACATGTATTTTCTTTAGCATTTTGAAATGTTCATTTACAGTCCAAGTCTCTAGCTAGCATCCCAGGTTAAATTTACATAAAACTCGAACACTTAAACCTTTTTGTGCCGCATATTTAAATCATGGCCAGAGTTTCTGCAGGTTTCAGCAAGTCACATTTAGGACTTTCAAAAGACCATTTTACTGCCAGATTTTTAAATTTTAAGACCGAAGAACTAAAAATATATGGGGTGATTGTGAACTACTACTGCAAAAGAAGGGAGCCAGTGGCAAATACAAACTTTGCCCAGCCAACTGGGGGTACATTTGCACTTACTCTGGTCGACTATTAGCCCTGCTGGCAAGATAGCGAAGGTTTAATAGTAGCTAGCTACCAAACACGACAAATATGTCTGTGCATGACAGAAAAGTTCAGCAAGAAAAAAATAAAATACACACAAGATTGTCATGTCATGACAAAATTGTAAGACCTGTGAGTAGCGTAGTTAAGGCCACAATGCTTGTTTGGGGTGCAGCGAATGTAGAAATGTTTACACAGATTATTGCTCAGGGTCATTTTAAATTAACTGAACTGACTATAAGAATGTGAATACGAACTCTGGCTCCTGCATCTTATCTCGTTGTTATTGTGCTCCCGTTTTAAGGCCATGTTAAGGCCTTCATTTAAGATACATGAATTGAAGACTTTCTAACGATGTGAGGACATGCTGCTTGCTAATCTTGCTAATTAACTGAAAACTCTAGCGCACACAGCATAGGGAATGCTAGTTGCGACGGTGCTCACCTGTACTCGGCTCCCCAGCCTTTGACGAAGCTCATCCTGATGGTGCACATCCTGGTGAGCTGGTAGACGGCCTCAAAGCCCTGGTTGACCGACTGGGCCAGCAGGGCCGCAAACTCCTGGTTGTTGAAGATTTTTAGATTACAACCTGGAGGAAGAAAGCCGTGAGAACCGGAGCGTGAGTTTTAGAGGCGACACACAAAAAAAGGCTTATTTCTGAATAAAGTGCCAACTACTGTTCAGCTTTTTGAGGCTTTTGTGACAGCTTGTGAATACAAAACAATAAAGAAGTTTTGAACTTACTTACATTAAAAATACATTTTAAAAGGAGGTTAATTATCATAACTGTTCAGTGTTATCTGACTAAACAGTCCGTCTTTCTCCTACATGCTGCCATTTTCAGCCTCTTACCTGGAGGAATTTTACACACTGTCGCTGGATGCCAGCCGTACCGCTGGTTGCAGTTTGGACTCTGGACAAAGATAGCGCTATCACTCAAGCACTCTGCAAACACCTCCCCTCCAATGTAGTAAAGTCTAACTCCTCTTCCTGTTAAAAAAAAAATAAAAAATCTAATTCATCATGCCTTACAAACAGGAAAACATGCGAATTTGTGCCCCAAAATCTAGAACTAATTTTCAAACTTCTATCTTACTTGGATACTATTGAGATAAACTTACAGAATAATTATGAAGCGAAAAAATGAAACAGATATTCTGCTGACTAGAACCAACCTATGTGCCGCCGAGTCATCTCCACAGTGGCGTTCCTGTTGACGTTGGACAGCAGGCCGAGGCAGAAGCGCTCCGAGTTGGACGGGTCCGTGAATCCGTCCACCGTCAGCGAAGGCTGAGAAGCGTGGAACGTCTCGCCCACGCGCTGGTTGAGCTCGTAGTACGCTATGGAGCACCAGAAGGCCGGCTCCGAGTATGTCACCGGCTGCAGGTCTGCGGGACGGGAGCACGGCATCGGTAGTTAGCTACAGTCGTCATGGTAACACAAATGCCATTCCACAAACCGGTCACATGACCAGATGAAAAACACACAAAAAATTTTTGATGCATTCTGCAGATATTTTTTAATTTAACCACTTAGGCCTTTTTAAAACAGATATTAGAAATAAATTTAAAGATATAAATAAACAAATGATTCATTTCTTTTTTAAATAAGAAAAATATTTCATTGCCTAAAATGCAATAACAGCATTCTTTTAGTGAATACATGACCATTTGTAGCAAAGGATGCATCTGCAGCTATAATGGAAATTGTTAAATTATTAGTAACTGAAATTAGTAAAGCACAAAAGGTGCTTAAGATTTTTTTGCTATCGTTACAGAATTTGAACCAGGTGAAGCTAAAACTATAACAGGGCCTGAAAGAGCTTGGAAAGAAAATGGCCAAGTCGTGTTTTAGTTGGGGTTTTTTTGTGCATTGACACAGATAGATGTAAATAACTGCGATAGATGGATGGATGATATATCATTTTTATCTCACATTTGTGACTTAAACTGAATAGTAGTCGTATTGTGGCATACTTTGTGATATCGGCAAACGCATCGTCATCTAAACAAATTGACATAATATTGAACAGTGATAAAGCAGGTGGTTCACATCTCACCCATGCTGTGATTGACCGGAGACAGAGTGCTGGGAGAGAGTTCTTGTGGAGAACCTGAAGCAAAAACAGAACCAACAGAGTTTTACAGCAGATCGTCACATTGTGACGGCCTTATTCATTTATCATCATTACTATATCAAAATTGATATCTATATACTCTGCAATAAACATATCACAAAGAACCATTCACTGTTTAAGTGTCTTGCATTCGGCCTCTCTACATCTGTAATATGTCTGGTGAAACTTGTCGTTTAATGCAACACAAAAGGTTTTAGGAAGTAAAGAGTCAAAAAAATAAAATAAAATAAAAATCTGGTGTCAAACTCCAGTCCTCAAGGGCCGCTGTCCTGCATTTTTAAATGTGTCACAGGTACAAAACACTGGAATGAAATGGCTTAATTACATTTAATTTGCCTGCTGTCTGAATGTAGCTCATGTTAACTTTAAACTCTAAACAATTTCACATTGTCAGTGTTTGTTTACAGCAAGTCATGACGTTACTGCAGTTCCCACCAATATTCACGTCTTTTCCTCAGATTGTGCAGCTCTAAACAGGCGGTTCTGATAATACCATGACTTCATTTCAAAACAATACCATCCATCTGATCAGCACCAAGGGAGAAGGACGTGCTAGTCGAGGGTACCTGTGTCCATACTTTGGTTCATCTGCTGGTCGCTGGCCTCTCCATCCTCGCTGATGTAACCCGGTGGAGGCGTCTCTGTTGAGAAAAACGAAAGAAAGCCAGACGATGCTGAATTGGAGTTCGAGAGAAAAACTCTTCATCAAATGATGGCGGCAGTCAAATGCAGACAATTCTACCTGGTATGTAGTTGTTTGGAGGTTCGATTCCTGCGGGGAAGTTTGTGTTTTCGGGTATGGAATGAGTGTAGTCGTCCAGAGGTGGCAGCTCGGACAGGATTTCTGAGTGTCTTGGCACAAGAACGGGAGGCAGCACTATGGTGGAGGATGAAACGCAGGAAGACGTGAGCTCACCGTGTTGCAAAATGGTTTTTTTTAAACTTAAAACCAGATCTAACAGATTTCATAGGAAATAAATGAATAATTAGTTCATAAAGATTATAAGACAGACTTGGGAATATTAGCTAATTATATTAAGAATTTATTGAGATGCATTTTTTCAACTAACAGGAAATGTTTTACTCGAAACAGGAAGTTGAACTGTGACATGTTTTGTTTTAAACTGTGGTTGGAGTGTTTTTTGTTTGTTTCTCTGGTCAGTCCTCTGCAGTGTCTGTTCAGCTGCTGTATTTTTTCTCTGTTTTACTTGTTCAGAGTTTATACAGGAGTCCTAGAGCTGAATTTACTACCTCTACAATATTTTTACTACCAACACAAAATCGAGCCAATTTCGCACCGATGTCTTCAATTTTGGGAGATCGGTGATCAGTCGACATTTACGTGAAGCCAATCTCATCCTCTGATCTTTTCTACTTCAGCAAAGGTCTAAAAATCAGCCATGTTCCTCTTCTGCTCTGCAGCGAGAGGTTTGACCGATAGACCGGCCCACCAGGTCATGTCTGCAAGCTTGTAGTTATCAATAGTGACCCCACTGTTAACAACTCAGAGACTTTCTTCCTATATTTAGCGACATTTCAATCAACAAAATGGCACCGTCTAAAATTGGCAGGTCAAACTTTTTATAGATTGATAATCTATGATCTGCGAGAAAGCTGCAATTGGCTCACTGACCCATGTAAGATGACGGCTCACGTAAAACAAAACTTTATCCCACTTACTTGAAGGTCTAACTGTGACTAACTTGACCAAAACCTCACGTTAAAAACGGCAAGCACTATTTTTAGTTTATTTTATTTTTTTTAAAGAATACCAGAAAAATGCAATGACATTACAATTTCACAAGCTGATGTTTTTTTCTCAGAATATTAGTTTGCTACTAAATGTCAACACTAGGACAACTTGATAACAAGGTTCAAGGGCATCATATTTCACAAGTCATTGAAAAGTTTAAATAAACAAATGTCCATGCAGCGAAATTCGGCGTTTCTGTGACCAACACACCAACTCTGTCAGATCGTTACAATTTGAGCAGCTGTTTAAATTAGCTAATCATCCACCGCTGTGTTCAGATGATCATTTTATAATAGCAAAATAAACATCAAGCCTGAAAACATGAAACTGTTAAGGACTGAATGTGTTGTCCTTTGTGTGGGAAACGTTTGCGGGTTTTATGGTTTTGGATCCTCACAAACAGTGGAGCTGTTTGTTGCTATGGCAACGAGTCTCCGTGTAGCTAGCAGACACGGAAAGTGAGGGGTGGGGAATACGACTGGATTCGAGTTGTTCATTGACGGATTTTCTGAGTTATTTCCCCTTTGCTGTGGCGCACTGCTCTAAATTAAGAAAGTTTCACTTAGTTAACGGAACCGTTCTATCGCGGCTACAGATGGCAAGGAAAAGGATCGTCTTTTTCCCTTCGCGAAATTTCCGGATGTAAACAACATGAAACGTGTCTAAATGGCATCAGTAATAATGAATGATAAACTTGTACGTAAAAGTTTTACCACTTTTACTACAATTGCAGTGGAATTTTCACTTTTGAGTATGTTCACACTGCAGTCTGTTAGCGCTGCAGTTGGTGTTATTTAGCTTACTTTAGTTGCTGCGGTGTTCAGAGCAGCTCAGCTCTGAGCGCTGGCTTTAGAGTCAGCAAGGTCTGCTGCCTGTCTGCAGCTCCCGTCGCGTCGCTGGTAAAACTTTAGCTCGTAGCTGAGCTTGAGTTTACAGTTGCATCGCTTCGTTTAGCACCAAAAACCGAAACGGGGATCTGCTCCACGGTGGAGCCTCAACCCACGCAGGAATCCACTGCTGATGAATGGTGGCTGATCCGGTCGGTCTGATTTGATCACCGTCAAGTCGTCCCAGGTCAAATTTAGATTTTTTTCCTGCATACTTTACAAAATGCCTTTCGGTCATTTCTAGTCTTTGAATCTCGGATCACCGAGCCAAAGTTGTAAAAACTTATACTTTCCCATGGCGAAGCGCAAAATAACTAGCTAGTCTCAACACGCTAGGCGGTTCCAACACTACGCATGCGCACAGCAGCTTGGAGTCTACCAGTGACAGCTCAGGTCCTGCCAGTATGGTAGTAATTTTTTATACAGATTTTAGGGAGACGAACTTAAAACAATAAGTGAGCATCAGTGGAAAATTAAAAATATTTTGAAGGGATGATGAAAAATTTACAACTACCTTTAGTTACTTCTTACTACTTTTTACTGGCCTTAATTTGAGCTCATTTAATTAACTACCTTTTGTTCTTAAATGATGAAAGTCAAAGGCCAGAATCTCCAAGATCATTTTTGAAGCTCCTGTTTCTACACACTGCACATCAGGCCAACATGTGATTGATTCTCTTAAACTGGGGTGTCAAATTCCAGTCCTCAAAGGCTGCTGTCCTGCAGTTTTTAGATGTGCCACAGGTACAAAACACTGGAATGAAATAGCTTAATTACCTCCTTCTTATGTAGAGAAGTTCTACAGAGTCTTGCTAATGACCTAATTATTCTATTCAGGTGTGGTGCAGTAGAGACACATCTAAAAGTTGCAGTGGCCCAAAAGGACTGGAGTTTGACAGTCCTTTTGGACTGTTGGGGCACCACTAAACCAGTGGTGCCCCAAAGTTGGTCCTGGAGGGTCGGCATCCTGCATCCTTTTAGGTCCCTCTCTGGTGGTAGTAACAACCTTTTCAGCAGGTCAATGTTCTTCTTAGGCCTCTAATGAGCCATCATTGCATCTAGGTGTGCTAAACCAGGGAGAGAACTAAAACATCCAGAAACAAATTCCTTCCTGCGTCAAAACGCAACGCTTTACTTTGCGTTGAACGACTTAAAAAGTTGACGACTGCCTCTTCGGCTGCTCTCTGTGCAGTGCTACAACCAGACGTGTATCAGCGATTTGGCCGACAAGCGTTGCTCTCACCTGGGGTCTCCACCCTCTGGTAGTGGTAGGGGTTGATGCACACCTCGTCCTTCTTGAGGTGGAAGGCGTACTCGCAGGCCTCGATGGCGCGCAGCTCGTGGTGGCTGTGAAGGTCCGGCCACCGCCACAGGCGGCAGTAGATGACGTGAGGAAGGCCTTTCCTGTGCGAGACCTGCTGGCGGCCGTCTAGGGATCTGATTGGACGGCGAACAGCAACAAGGATGTTTTTAAAGTCCAATTTTAAAACGTTGTGAAACACCAAATGCGAGTTGAGGATATTCACCTGGTTTGGTCGGGGTAGCTGTATAGGCCTGACGTGTCCCACTGTTCTATCGTATTTGGTGTACTCAGTCCCCATATTTCAGAGCAATTGCTGTGTACGGGGAAGAAACACAACCAGGAAAAAAAAGAAAGAAACATTAGTATTTTTTCAGTAAGGATGTGGAAACTCTTATTGGAGTTCTGTGGCAAAATAAAGCCATCAGATTCAACTGTGGAAATGAACTTCAATCAAAAGAAGCCGTTTTGAAGGACTTGAGGAAAAATAAGAGTGATGTTAAAAATCCATTCTCCATGTTGTGGCTCTGTATTGAACACTAAAAATAGCTTTTCTACAGATAAATATCTCAGAACTTATGTGGAGACAAACAAAATATGGAGTTTTGGGGGGTGGAGGGGGTATGGACTTAAAGGTTTTATCACTTGTGATGATAACAAAAGTGACAATAACAACTGAGGGTGCACCAATTGCAGTTTTCTGGCCAATCGCTGATTACCGATCTTTAAAAGCCTGACCACCGATTTGGCTGGTAGCATTTTTTTTTTTGTTTTGATCTGAAATGTTGGTGAATGTAACAAAGTCGCTGAGTTGGCAACAGTGAGGCGACTGTTGTTAACTGAAAACGTATAGACTTGAGCTTTATTGGTAGGCTATTTATGTTTCTGGAGAAAACAGTAAAAGTACCAATTCCATCAATGTGGACAGTTTTGGGGGCGTTAAACATTATCAATTGGAATTTACTGTGACAACGATAAATCAAAACTCTTATTATGATGATAAATTTATCCAGATAAATGGGAAACGATACGATAAGTGTCCAGCAAGAAGCACACCAAATAGCACAAAACAAAGGAAATGAGAGGAGGAGGAAAGTTAATCAAAATCATTTTAATAATAATAATAAAAAAACCTAGATTCAGAAATTCTTAAAACATTTACAGAAAGTGTCCAAAAGGGAAAGTTGACAAATGAGCTGTTGCTTCATCAGACACACAAACACCAGGGAATTCCAGGAAGCAAATCTTTCCCAAAAATGTTCCCACTGAGTTTTAGTCTGGGTCATCAAGGTCGGCCGATAAAGGGGAACGACTTCTCCTGACCTTTAACAAACCCTGCAGACGCCTTGGGCACAGTGGGAGGCAAACTGTAATATTCAGCTGAACCCAACGCTCAAACACGTCTTTGGAAATGAAGTCAAGTTAGGGAGAGAAACAGGGAAAAAAAAAAGTTTCCAACCATTAACAAGAGGAGGAAGCTCACCTCGGGATGGTGACACACTTTGTGTTGCAGTTCTGGGAGGTGATAGCCTTCTCCAGCTCATCCAGCTGACCCGTCTTCTTCAGCTTCTTTACCAGGCTTTTCACAGCTTTCTCGCACCACTTCTCCTCTTGCCCATTCTGCTCGCCGCCTCCCGCTAAACCCGGCCCGGTTGACGTCTTCTTCAGCGTCAGGAGCCTCTTCACCACAGGAGGGGTGAACGGCAAGATGGACGACATCTCGACCCACCGAGAGCCTCGAGGAGGTTTTGGTGTGAGCTCTCGATTACCGACGAGGCAGGGGGCGCACGGCGGGGGGAGGGCGAACTTGGAGCTACAGCTTCGGGCCCTTTCTCTGAGGGGCCCTTCTGGTAATGAGTGAATCAAAGGGTGGAAGCCAACGCTAGAAGTCACTCAAAAGATTTGGACACCTTGCAGGGGAAAAAAAACCCATAAAAAGTATTATAAATCACAAAATCAGAAAGAAAAATATATTTTTCAAACCCCAAAAATTTAATCAACCAATTAATTAGCCACCAGCCATATGTTCATAACCTTCATCTCATCTTTAACAAATCCAAAACACGCTGTTTAAACAGGATGAGTTTGTCGAAGTGCACTGATGTACTTCACAAACAGCAGATCCAACTCAGATCTTTTCAGCATTTGACCCGAGTCAGCTCCGATCCAAGTAAAAACGGGTGATTTGGATGAAAATCGTAGATATGTTAGTCTGGAAATAATTATACGGTTTTAACGATAAACTGCAGCAGAGCCATAATAAATAAAAATAAACCAAAATCATTAAGTCAGATCTCAACGATCAAAAAAACAATTAGAGGCTCATCTCAAATTATAAACTATTACAGAACTGGATAATTTCGCTGGTAAGTTCTAAATTAAACCTAGTATATAAAACGGAGAGCTCCACACTGATGTCCACTGTGGTCTCTAAACTTTTCCAAGAGTAGCAACTCTCAAAAACTAGAACAGAATCACTACAATCTGATGCTAAACAACAGATATGGTGACCAGAACTGACCATCTAATATTAGCTCGTCATAGGCGTCCGAGCTAACTGGCTCGTAAGCTAACATAACTGCAGGGCTTCCGTTTCCAAACAAGACAAATTTACGAGCCCGATAAGCAACTGAAAGAATGCTGCTAAATGACTGAAAGCGGGTAGTGTATTTTGAGACAAGGCCAGCCGAGCTACAAGAACTTGGTTGCCCTGAGAGGGCCAACTGTTAGCTGCCTGGGGGGGGCCTACTGGGCTCAAACCACAACACCACAATGACTAGCGTTAGCTCCCAACATTTCCAAAGAACATTTGTTAAAATAACAGGTGGCAAAGAAAAGCAGGCACATTTTAGAGATGCAAGTTCGATTAATTATTAATGCAAACTCGAGCTAAAGGAGCTGACGTTAGCTTCACGGAGCTAGCAGTCAGCTTGTTATCAAAAATCCTTTTGTTGTGATCCGCGGAAAACCCTCCTGTGCGCAACAGTCAAGTGGGGCTACTTCGGCACCTAGCGAGTTTTCCACAAAACCCATCTGATTCAGGCCCAGTGTTTTTTTATTATTATTTTTAATAAACTGTTTGGCGATGTACATGCAACGTTTCTTCATTTCAGCGCAGCTACCCATCTTTTTCCTGAAAAATCTGCATCTAGGTTTGTTAGCATCTTGGACAAACTCTTCCAAACAGAGTTGAGGCTCCCGCTGGCTAACGGAGCAACATCAACCGCAGCTTCAAAACAACACACTCCCAAGCCGAAAAAGCAACGAAAAGCCTTTCAATAGTTACCCCAGCTTTGCAATCCAAGGCTCCGCTTCAACAGCGGCTACCGTCCGGAGACCTAAAAAAACACTCATAAAAATATTTTCTGAGTACAATTCAGCAGCCAAACCATACAGGGCTCCTCTCAAGTTGCTACCAGCGCTACAGTTGCTCGTTAGCTGAGTTAGCTACACCGGAACAGGCTACAAACGTCACAGTGACGCAAGAACTCTTAATCCCTCCTGATTGGACACAGAAATGTGTTCGTTCTGTGATTTTAAGTGTTTTTGTGCCGAAATTTAGAAGTGAGGCGAAAATAACAGTGGCCACAGTAACTTGACTAAATATCCATTAATATACCTCAAAATTAATGGAAAGAAAGAAAGAAAGAAATAAAGAAAGAAAGAAAGAAAGAAAGAAAGAAAGAAAGAAAGAAAGAAAGAAAGAAAGAAAGAAAGAAATATTTTAGCAAAATGAATTAAGTTACCATGTTCAGCGCTTGTTTAATTAATACTTACTTATGACTGAGACAGGTAGCCCAGTGTTCAAAACCCCAACTCATGAGGGGAGGCCGAAAATAAGATTTGTTTTCAAATTATAGTTAGTAGTTGATATTTTTCTCTTTGACATGTTTATTGTTCTCTGGATTAACCACACCCACAATCTAAAGTAATTTTTATACAACCTCTACAGAACATAGGAGTATTGTCACCTTCACACTAATCACCTTTTCCAAGAGCAATATTAGTTCCAACCACTTCATGTTTTTAAGGTCAACAGGTAAAATAAATATTTGTGCAGATGTATTTATATAACTATTTATTTATTTTCAAAAAAACTTAACCATACAGGTCAAATATTAAATTTTTAAAATATGTCTAAGTTACATTTTAACAATTTTCCTTTCATTTTTGGAATCATGTTATTTTTCACGCTTAAAGAGAGTGGATGGTGTTAAAACTGCAATATTCAAAGTTGACTCAAGTCTCATGTCTAACTATCGGGAAAGGTACATAATCAAATAGTTGATTCACAGGCCTCACTTTATTATGAAGTCAATTATTATGAATTCAGGATCCAGTACATGGACTCTGAAATATTTAAATAAATACTAAAATAATTTGATGGGATTTTAACAATGAACTTTTTATTTTATTTTTTTAAAAAAGATTCTTTTATTTCTTTATATTAATTTACATCTAGCTTAAATAAATTAGCACACACATTATCCTTAATAGTTGGCTATTTTTTTTGTGAATTGTGGCATTTTTTGGCATGCCATACAGCTGCTCCTAACATCTCCAGCAGCTCCGCCCCTACTTAGGTGTGCAATTAGACTCAACTGGCTGAATCTGGTGCCTTTATAAGCTGCCTCCCCAGAACGTCCTAGCATCTGGTTCATTTTGACTTCCCTGTGGCAATGGGTGGTCAGTTATGGCTTTGTGTGGGCTTATTGGCACTGTTTTTACAAGGTAAGCAACTCCCCCCACAATTTTGGTGTGTATTTATAAGTTTATGACTTTGTTTTTTCTTTTCCATTGACTTAATTTTGTTTTGTTTTTTTTTCTCTTCCCCAGCTGGAAGCTGTCTTAATCGTTGCAGAATGGGGTATAGTCTATGCAAGGATGGCTTAGAATGTATCCCCTACAACCATGTCTGTGATGGAGAGGAGGACTGCAAGGATGGTTCTGATGAACAGGACTGTGAAGCAGGATGTAGTTCTGGTATGACTCAAAGGGTTAACTGGGAGCTTAGCCTTCTTTACATGAAGCAAAAGCCTGCTCAGACTGGAATTTGATATGTAGAGCTGAGAACTTGACTCATAAACTGAGTTCAAATTAACATTAACTCCTACCTGAACTATGTACTGTTCACAAATTTCTTTAACTCAAACCTATCGCATTAACTTTTTTTTTCCCCTTCAAGAAGGTGGGGGAGCTATTGCTCAGTATAAACTTGAAGTTATGTAGTGCTCCTTTCCTTGTATATAACTTAGAATTTTTCTTTTCCTAAAATTTGTGCATCTATAAACGTCCTACATGGCTATATTGCTGGCCCAATGTGATTTGCCTTGATGCTTTCAGTGAAGTCTTGTTGCAATGAATTTTTAAAAGTGCATGCATGTTGCCTGAAGTTCAACCAAACGCCTGTTTCCAAACAGACCAGTTCCAGTGTGCCCATGGTAAGAAGTGTATAGACAAAGATCAGGTATGTGATGGTGTACCTCAGTGTCAGGACCGCTCAGATGAACAACAATGCCAGAAACACCCTGAAGACTGCGCTCACCACTGTGATGAGAAGAGCCACTGCTTGCCTGCAAACTTCATCTGTGATGGAGAGAAGGACTGTCTGGATGGCACTGATGAGGCAAACTGTGGTATGTGGCTTCTGTTTTGCTCTTTGACTCTAGGGTGGGCAGTTTTCAACTTCAGTCGTGTGTGCTGCATGGTTTTCAGAGGACCAAAAGGAAGCTGGAACAATTACAGGACCTACAACGGCCCCTTCCGGTCAGTCTCGTCCCCTCAGATGTGGCTTGGGCTCCCAGATGTGCAAAGACAAGTCGGACTGTGTCCACTACAATCATGTCTGTGATGGAGAACCAGATTGCAGAGATGGCTCAGATGAGGAAGATTGTGTCTCAGAATGTGGAACTGGTAGGTGACCTAAACTGGCTATAATCTGCTTAAAGTAAACTCTTAAGCCACAACTAGCGGTATAGGCGCTTGCTAGACCACTACAAAAAGGCATCTAAGATGGTGATGACTGCTACACCTTGCATTCATATTTTGGTACTCTTTATAATCCTGCTACAGACCAGTTCCAATGCGCCCACGGAAGAAAATGTATTGAGAGAAGTAAAGTGTGCGACGGCGTGCCACAATGCCAGGACCGCTCTGACGAACTTGCCTGTGCCAAGCGCATGGAGGGTTGCGCTCATCTATGTGACGAAAACAGCCGCTGCGTCCCCAGCAGTTTCCTGTGTGACGGGGAGCAGGACTGTAGCGACGGCAGTGACGAGGCAACCTGTGGTATGCTCGCACGACTTCACAATTTGTGACGACGCTCCTTCGCGGTGCTCTAACATGCTACGGCCCTCCTGTAGCTGATTTGCAGTGCAGCTCTACAGAGTTTAAGTGCCTCAGTGGCCAGTGTGTTTTGGCGTCAATGCGTTGTGATGGTCATCCTGACTGTCCGGATCGCTCGGATGAGGACGGCTGCACCAAGCCACCGGTCTGCACAACCAAACATCGCTGTCCTCACAGCAAGGAGTGCTTGGTGCAGGAGTGGCTCTGTGATGGAGACCAGGACTGCAAAGATGGCTCGGATGAAAAGGTCCTGTTTTTTTTTTTTTTAATCCCTCCTTCGCTCTCGAGTTGCACAAGGACTCATGATATCCCTTCTACTGTAGGATTGTCCTGTGACACCAGTCAGCTGTGGTGCCTTCCAGTGGTCTTGTAAGTCAAACACCCAGTGTATTCCTACAGTCTGGAGATGTGATGAGATTAAAGACTGTGACGATGGTAGTGATGAGACAGAATGTGAGTATGCATATTTAACTGTACTTGAATGCATAGTTTTCTTTAAATAATGGATAACTGTAAATGATTGCTGTTTAGTTCCTAAAATTCTGACTTTTTTTTTTTTTTTTGGTTAAACTTCCCAGGTGGCATGGGAACATGCCTCCCTCATGAGTTCCAGTGTGGCAGCCAGGAGTGTCTGGATCCGGTCCTTGTCTGTAATGACGTTACAAACTGTGCAGATGGTTCAGATGAGGGGGGCAGCTGCCATATGGCCTGTACTGCTGCTGACCGCTGTATACAGGGCTGCCACAGCACACCCCAGGGACCGGTGAGAGACCACTTAAACTGTGAAAAAGCAAAAGACTGTACAGTAGTGGCTTGACTTTGAATCTTGTATTCTATTTATAGCGCTGTCGCTGCACAGCAGGGTACAGGCTGCTGGAAGATGGTCAAACGTGCTCTGATGTAGATGAGTGTGACAACCAGGCACAAAGTGTGTGCAGTCATCTGTGCATTAATGCACCTGGGTCATACCAGTGTGAGTGCCATCCAGGCTTTATAATGGAGGCGGATGAATACCAATGCAAAATCACAGGTAAAGTATCCCAACATTGGGGGATAAGGTGAACTGGGACACTGCAACCGTTTTCTCAATGGTTGCTGTATCCTGAATTCTTAAATGCTACAAGGCGAGTTTGTCTCAAATGTTCATTTGAAACCTTGTGTGCATTCATCAAGCTTACATGTTTTCACTCTATACCTTGTCGATTGTTGCAATCTCTTCATAGGTGAACCGTTCCTGCTGGCATCTGTCCAGACAGAGTTGTACATGTATGGTTTGCGCACCGGAAGCCTTGATGTCTTGTCTTCATCTGCCAAAAAGGCAATCTTGTCTGTAGACTATGACTGGCGGGACCAGAAGGTTTTCTGGGTTGGTGTGGACACTGAAACAATCAGGTGGTCTTCTATGGACCAGAAGACTACAGGAATTCTCACTAAAGGTTTGGGGTGACAAGAAAAACTTTTACTGGCATCTGAATCAGTTTAAAGCATAATGTAAATGTTCCTGTTAAAGGTGTCCGGGCAGACTCTGTAGCTGTAGACTGGCTTGCAAGGAACCTGTACTGGATTGATGGTGTAAATAGTCAGATTGTTGCCATCAGCCTCGCAAAAGCATCTGTCAAGTCACTGGACCAAAGCATCATCCTGGATGAAGAGTTGGACCAGCCTCGCTCTCTGGCCCTGCTGCCACAAAAAGGGTTGGCTTAAAAGACCTTAGAAGTAAAAACTGTACTGAGCTGACATTCATACTTGTCCCTCTCTTAGGCTGATGTTTTGGACAGAAATTGGTAACTTGGTTAAGATTGAACGAGCTGGCATGGATGGGTCTGAGAGGAAGGCAATCGTGAACTCCAGCTTGGGCTGGCCAGGTGGCATTACAGTAGATGTCCTTTCAGAGAGGGTTTTCTGGACAGATGAACGACTGAAAGCAATTGGGTCTTCCACGCTAGACGGTGACAATGTGAAGGTAAATGAAGCCAAAAGTTCTCTCAGGATTAACTAGCTTCAAAAGCCTCCCCAATAACGTAACCTAACAAAGTTCATCAGTTTAAAGCACTTATCTTTCAGATTTTCCAGCTGAAGGAGACTACCAATCCCTTTTCTGTGGCTGTATTCAATGACTTGCTTTACTGGTCTGATGCCAAGAGGAGAGTGGTGCAAGCTGTTAATAAACTCTCCGGTAAGAACAGGCAGGTTATCCTGAAGAGACCTGGCCAACCTTTTGCTATTAAGGTGAGTTTTGTCCAACTTGGAACTGGAAATGCATACTAGAACTGACCCAGATGTTCAAGACGATCCTAACTTTCTACATAGTGTCCTGCTGCAATGTCTTCACCTGTCGGGTGCAAATCTTGGTTTGGTCAAAACCAGTTTCTGATTTCCCCATTTCTAGATTATACATCCAATAATGCAGATGGACACAGAGAGCCCCTGTAAGAAGATGGCCTGTTCCCACATGTGTGTTTTGGCACAAAGACGTCAGGCTGTGTGCAAGTGTCCCAGTGGCATGTCTTTGGCTGAAGATGGTCTGCTCTGTTCCAGTCTGCCCAAATCAACATTCCTGCTGCTGTTGTCACCACCTGCTGTCACAAAGGTTTGTGCTAGATGTCAGTTGTGTAGTTGCTTTAAATTCAGAATTTATATTCTGTGGGAAAGGGAATGCAGAAAAGCATGGTGACTCAGTTACCTGTAAGCTGGAACACAAGTGGTTATTTGTGTAGCACTATTCAAAGTCTTCCACAGGACCAAGGGAATATGGGGAAATCGGTTCTGGTCCTGCAAACTCGGTCAGCAGCTCTCTGACCTTAGCATTAGATGCTAAGGTCATGTCAAAGAAATCTTAGCTAAAGACAAATTGAGTCTTAAACCAATGGAACTTCAAAATTATTTAATGACTTGCATAACTAATGTATTTCTGCAGATCTATTTTCAAGCCCAACAGGCAACAGAGTTAAAAGGCTTGCCTGACCATCTGGCAATGACAATCCCTGGCATAAGTGACGCAAAAATCATGGACTACAGCACACATGACAACACTCTGGTCTTGACGGATGCCAACACAACTTCAATAAAGTTCTTCAAGCTGAGAGACTTGGCCTTGGTTGCTGAAGGGCAGATTCTCAAACTGCTAGATGACCAAATCACTGCCATGGCCCTTGACTGGGTGACCCTTAATGTATACTGGAGCAGCAACAAACAGCCCCGACTGCAGGTTACGTCAAAAACCGGGGCATACACAGCCATTCTAATAAAAGATGGGATTGCTGGAGTGGGTTCCATTGCCCTTCATCCTAAAAGTGGAAAAGTTTGCTTTACCAACCTAAATCTGAAAGATGCTGGCAGCAAGGCTGCAGTAGAATGTGCTTACATGGATGGTGGAGAGCGACGAGTTGTGTGGAAAGATGCAGTTCAACCAGCATCTCTAGTCTTTTCCAGTACTGGGGACATGATCTACTGGGCTAACACAGGTACAACTACATCAGAGTAATGTTTCACTACTTTTTTTTTTTTTTTTCTTAAATGGCCTAAATGTTTCACAGGAATGGGGAAAATCAGTCTAGTCAAGACTGATGGCTCTGGATACAAGGAACTAGAGGCTGGAGCTGGGCTGACTGCTGTAGCTCTTGGTGACATGCCAATCTGGATGACTGTCGGTGGTAATGTCAATATTGCTGGAGGGAACATGCTACCTCAAATATTCAACTTAAATTGTATATTTCTAAATGCCATGCCTGTCAATTACCCTCAGATATGACAAGACTTTGGTACAGAGAAGATCAGCAGCAAAAACTATGGTTTGAGGTTGGCACAAGAGTACTTGGCTTGAAAGCCTACAGTGAGTCTACGCAGTCTGGTAAGTGATGGCTTAATTCCCAAGAGGATTTGGTGATGCTTTAAAATTCTAAAGTCTAGTCTCATTCCCTTCAGGTTCCAACCAGTGTGCAGCAAACAATGGCAACTGCCAGCACCTGTGCCTCGCCACCCCAACAGGACGGACGTGCAAATGTGCCCATGACTTCAATGCAAAAGACACAAACTGCAGCCCTGATCAGAGCTGCTCAACTGGTGGTAGAAAATGTCTGGACCAAACCTGCCTGCCAGCTGAGAAATTCTGCAACGGCCATGCTGACTGTGCCGATCACTCAGATGAAAACTGTATGTAACGTTTAAAATGGATAAGCTGTATGGCTGGCTTCAAATTTCACTAAACCTCTGCTTGAAACTGGTTTTTCCTTTAAGGTGCTGGTGCCAAGCAACAGTCAGAAACAAAGGTCTCTACTTCAAATCAGAGTACACTTCCTCCTCACACTCCATCCCCGAAGATGAACCTGGGCAAAGCTGTAGAGGAAAACGCTGAAGTCCTGGAGGCAAAGTGCAGCCAGAATCGTTGCAGTGGGAAAGGGAGCTGTGTGAAAATTGATGGGGTCACTACATGCAAATGTGTTGAGAACTACAGTGGAGCATCTTGTCAGAACATTGCAGCAAAAGGCATCCAGGGCCCCATTATCTATGGTGCTGCAGGTCTCTGTGGCATAGTTGTCATTGCTGTGATGGCAGTGGTCCTCAAAAATGCTACTTCAAGGTTTTTACACTTATTCTGAATTTAAATGTGAAGTGTATGTATTCTTGGTGCCACAAACTTAATTGTATCCTTAATACAGGGGAGGGAGACCAGATGCAACAGTGGAAACCAGCATGTCTGAACTGCAGAAAAAAGTGGAAACCACAAGTGGCACACAGAATACCCAGGCAACTTCAAAGAAGCAAGAGGTGACATGATGAACATGGAACCTCTTTACTCCTGTCTTTGAAGTTCTAACTTCCTGTCATTTCTTGCAGGAACCAGTATCTTCTGTGGATTAATTCATAACTTTTTTTAATAAAGAGTTTGCATTTTCAGTTGGCTTGATGCGTCTTCAATATTTAAAACGCTTTGTGCAAAAAAACTGACACTTAATTGTTTAGTGATGTCTGCTCGGATAAAATATTAATTTCAAGTTGTGAAAAGGTAAATTGTCATACTCAAGTGTTGGAGTTCTAAAGTCCTTAAACATGCATGTAGAGCGCCCCCAGAAGTGAATTCTGTGACCTATAAGGAAGCTCTGAAATGGGAACAAGGGTTAGAATCTCTGCAAACATGGCACTAACCTGCCTGAGATTTTACTTCAGTTTCAAGTGAACCAAAGCTTTACTTGTACTGTCCACTTCAAGAACACGAACAATGCAATGAGACAAATGGGGTGCAGACTATTTGACATTTTACAAGTGGAGAGAGACTGCTCATGTCAAACCTTGATGCTGAGGGGCAGATGCTCACACTGAAAGCTGTCGGCTAACAGGAAGCAAAGCAAGATATGATAACTGAGGGATAATTTGGTCTGGTAACAATTCGGCATAAGCATACTTCATTCCTGCTTGACGGGGTGGGGGATTTTTTTTTTTTTTTTGGCCCCTTAATTAAATGCCACACCCTGCTTAAATAACAGTCTATCCCTTTGGCACTGTTTCAGTCTTTTGTTGGCTACTTCCAGTAGGGAAAAGGTCCATGTCATAAAGCTTGGAATATATCCAACTAGCTTTTAAAGCCAGCACTCTACCAGATCACCTGTGGGATGTGATGGAACATGAGCTGCATCTCATTGATGAGCAGGAACTGCATGTCAATATGGACTAAAGTCTGCCCTAAATTTGTCAAAGGGGGCTCAAGATGTACTTGATAGTGGCTATTGGGTACACCTTGTTTTACATGCAAGGTGTATTTGGAGTGTAGAGGGAGACATTCAGTGTTGAACTAAAATTTGCAGGGTCATGTCTCGGCATCTGAAAACTAAGATGCTCCTTAGCTGACGGCTTTTAAAATTTGAACACATTAGATGACTCTGCTACCTCAGGAAAGCTTAAGTTATGAGGGAAAACACAGTGATGGTAACACATTCTGATCGTTAGTGAGATGAAACTGCTTCTAGGAAAGCTTTGTGTGTTCCACAGTGAGGCTGTTTGAACTCCATGCATATATTTTTGTTGCAAACATCTCCATGGCACCCCAGTGTATTCAGCCCAGAATCTAGATGTTATTTAAAGTCTGGACCAAATTCTTCCTATTGTTTACACAAAAACCACAAATCATGTTTACTTTGGCTGTGAGGCAACTTCTGGTCCGCTCATTCTCTCATTTTCCAGTAAGAATTTTAAACTCTTTAATTTCAACTCGTGTGTGGGTGTTAAATGATTCAGCTTCTATAGTTGGAGAGTTTATCTACAATATAATAAGGACCCCCCCCCCCCCCATCCCTCAGATGATGGATTGCTGCTGTGTAGCCCCCACATATGTAAACAGCCATATAAAAACAGACCCATCTCAAATGTTTAGTTCATTCTGGACATAGAAGAGGCAAGCATCGTCTTGGAGGTACTGCTGAGGTAAGCCTGAAAAGAGGATTACCTTTCATATGACAGTACAACATGTATTAGGAGAGACATACATTCCTTATTGGAATTAATGTCTTTACTTTTAGGGACTTGAATGATTTGCTTGAATAGTTCTTTTTCCAGGGTATGACGGCAAAACAAATATGGTTTAACAATTCCAAACAGCTTTTGTGTACAGGCTGAAACCAAAATGAAAGGAAATGAGTCAGAATATTCAAGAACATCCCAAAAACCCGTCAACATTTCAAACCTGTTATAAACTGGAAGCTTATGGAACAATGGTGTCACTGTCGTTATGTTGATAACCTGTTCATCCTGAAATATGACCAGTTCAGATATGTCAAGAGCCCAGAAATAAAATGGCACAAATGTAGTTGATGAGCGAGTGTAAACTGATGACCTGTATTGTCATACGAAGCATCCACCTACTTACATTCTACCTGTTTCTTCAAATATAGCAGAGGGGACAATGGAAGTTGCAGGGGCTGCATTTTGGGCAGCACTTATGGTGACGTTTGTGACATCTAAACCGGTGAGTAGCTCTACTTCTCTGACTACCTTTTACTACTCGAAGATGCAGTATGTAACTTTTATATTTAAAAACAAAAAAGTTTTTTTCCCCCATATTTATTTCAACTGTCACCATGTTGTGACAGTGTAATACGAGACACATAATCTGTGAAAAAACCCCCCAAATAAATCAAGCTCCTCCATCTACTATAGCAGTCTGCAAAAATGCACTGCAACTGGTCAAAAACAACCAATCAGAGCCATGAGGAGGTTCTTAGTGCTGTCAATCAATCTTGTGTATGAAGTTCAGTGTGCTAGTGGTTGAGAAACAACTTGCAGTTACAGTAAAACAGTTCCATCGTCATTGGTGGCTATGCTAACTAGCCCAGCATTCATGAACACAGAGGCTAGTAGCACAAGAGAGAAGGGTTGGGGGTGATTGACATCACGAAGACCCGCCTTCTGCCTCTTATTGGTTGTTTCTAGTCTGCATCGGGAGCACTGTTAGGAGATAGAGGAACTCCATTTTTTTACATGACACTATATATTGTGTTTTGTTTTGTTTTTTAAATAAAATTTACATATTGCAGCTTTAATAAATAGGCCAATTACCTTTTTTCTATTTAAACAGGTTTGCCTACATGTGGAAGACGATTCCTCAAAATCATCAGAGTCCAGCGAGTCGATGTCATCATCGGAGGAGACCGAAGTCCAGTTCGGACCCTCACAACCGGCGCTAACAGACACGGGCCTGCAGACGGAGCTCCTGGACTCCAATCCTTCTTCATCCACAACCGACTCGGCAGCACCGCCGGTGCCTGAGGATCCACAGACCTCCACAGACATAGACCCTCTACAACCCCTCCCACAGGGTCCCTGTCAGACTGCTCTCCAGGTGGACAGCTCTCTCGGCGCAGCACCCGACTCTCCGGATGCTGGCATGGCAATAATCACGACGAAACCAAAAGGCACCGGCGCATACGAGGGCCTCCAGCGGGAAGCCACCCCACCCGCTCCTGTACAGGTCCTCACACCCACTCCTCTGTCGGTTTCCACAGACACGCCCTCCACCATCCCCGAAGACACCCCTGCTACCAGTTTGGATTGTTTCACCGTGCAGCTTCTAACAGCCGAGCCGCCGCCACCTCGAGGAGACAGCATATGAGGAATTGGGCTATATGGACTTGAAGTTTTATCACAATATTTTATCGGTACTACTTTGATAACAATAAAGGTGACATTAAGAATTATTTATTATTTCATTTTAAGGAATGACATAGTCCCACCAACACAAATACGGCTCCCGAAAAACACTCATTTGTAGCGCCACATGAATCAATGTATTTTGTATTTCTAAACTTCACATTTTAACTGGTTTTTAATCACCCCCCACCCCCCAAAAATGTATTGGTTCTTTTATTGAACAATCAGTGGAGAAAATAGTAAAACTAACAATCCCGATGATACTGACTGACTGGGGCGGGGCTTTCAAACATTAATTGCAATTTATCGTTCGTGACACTGATAAATCAAGAAACTTACCACGATACGATAAATGCCTCCCCCTATGAGGTATCACATCCTTGTTTATTAACGTTGTCTGATTTTACGATTTAATCAGTGGGAATTTATTTACAATGATTCTAATGTTAATGAATGCTACATAAACGCAATGAAACATAGGAATTACAGTTTCTGACTGAACTGCTTTACTAGTCAAATCAATAAAAGGACACCTCAAATGTTCTATAGAGTAAAAAACAGACGTACTTACATGTTTCAATTAATTCAATAGTACAACACAGTAGAGCTTAATGGTCAGCTTTCTTTACACTTAACTGCAATTTGTTAAAAATGTTAAGCATATCCTCATGTATGGGACATTTTTCACCACCGACTACCTTGATTAAATATTAAGCAATAAATACTCAACATCTGGATTCATGACAGCTGGAACTTTGTCACACAGCATTCCACAGTCCAATAAGACTGGGAACAAGAGAACAGGTCTAATTATGACCCATTACCACCAGGTCTGTCACATGCAAATATAACTGTTGGAAGTTTTAGTTTAAGAGTGAATAACCTTGAAGCCAAACACAGGTTTAAATGATTTAAGCAGGGTTGTGTTGAATGTTTATGAGAAGTCTGAGTCTGTCAACAGCGAGATCGATTTCTGAAAACGAGTTGTCATTAGAAACCCATAGAATTCTCCAATCTTTCTGAAAACATGAAGAAAAACTGAATTCTTTTTTTTACACTTTGTGTCAATATTTTCTTACTTAAACAATTAAATGTAGACCCGATAGCTACTAAAACATGCTACTGCTGAACGGTTGATGGTCATGGAGTCACCATCCTTCTTTCCTAATTACTCCTTCAGACTGTAATATTTTTTTTTTTGGGGGGGGGGGGCCCTCAACAAGGGGAAATAAGGTTCCTAGGAATTTTTTTTTCAATTTTTTTGCAACTTAA